ACATAGTGGAAGGTGGCCTCTACTTAAGGGTAAGTATTGAGGAAATAATTGTGTTTTCCTAGGTGGAGGTAGTTGGATGAGGATTGTGAAAGCTCAAGTCTTAGCTTTCTGGTTGACTTTTTACAAATAAGGAATATTTTATTTTGAAACACAAATCCAGTTACCAGATGGCAGCTAGTGACATGTTTCCTTTAAAGTTAACTGTCCAGGTTTCAAAACCAGAATCTGTTCTGCAGACATTGTGAAGAGTTAATCGTTACGCCTCGTTGTTCAGCAAGTAGACACAACTCACTGTGTGTCTGAATTGAAAAACGTGGCTAGAAGAGTAACAGGTTGTGCTTTCCTCACTGTAAAGTTAATTGCAGTGGTGACAATGAGACCTGTAACAGGTTTACTTCGTGGGACAGCTATGCAAGCATAGCTCAAAATGCAGCTACTGCAAAACACAAAGATAAGTTGTAGCTTGGTCCATTGTTTTTTGAATTCTGCATCCTGTCAACTAAAGGAATAGAATTAGCAGGTGTAGATGGCTTAGGAGAGCATATTTGTAAACTGTTGTAAAATGGTGTCTCATACCTGTTTTTCTTTACATCACAGTACCAGCTGGCTGTTGGGTACCTCCCTTAGTTGTAATCCTGTCAACTAAAGGAATAGAATTAGCAGGTAGAGGAAGAAAGTACTGGCAGTGCTGCGTTCTTGTAGATTGCTTATGAGGGTGTATTTGTAAGCTGTTGTAAAATGGTGTCTCATACCCATTTTTCTTTACATCACAGTACCAACTGGCTATTGGGTACCTCCCTTAGTCGTACCTTCTGTGCTATAGTCCTCCAATTTCTTAAATTGCAGATAGATTTTTGTTGTGTGATGGACTCGGCCATGGCTCCGATTTAAAGAGAAATGCTTTGGTTTGGCATTAGCATTCAGACAGCATGACCGGACTACAGTCTGCCTGCTTCATATTGAGTATAAAAGTAATACTGAAGAAATTTGGAACTGTTACTCAGATGCAACGATTTACTTCTTTTTAGGAAGGCCACAGGATAGTCCAGTCTGAACTAGCATCTTGGTAAGTTAGCGTGACATTGTTTTTTAATCAGCTGTCTGTCTCTAATGTGGTGAGCTGGTTATATTGCTGGTTTTCCTTGCTGAGAAGGTGCAGTGCTGCTTCAGAAAAACATAATAGCTTGTCTTCCATCAGACTTGAGAATGCTTGAAAATTGTTGTGATGATCGGCAAAATGTTCAACTGCTCTGAAGAGAGTGAGTGAGAATGGCCTTTCTGAACAAACCCACTATGAGTGTCCTTCCCTGTCACTTCAGTCTGGGCATCTGAGTATTTAACATGCAGTGTTTTGTGTCAGTGGGCAAAAATCATGACTGTGTGACTTTTTTTTTAATAAACG